TCAGGTCAACTTGACTCAGAAGCCCAAGACATTAAGATCTACAGGATTCCGCCACCTCTGGATGAGCTGTCTTGGTACACCACCCTACTCTATCCCCAGAGAGTTCTGGCTGTTGGAAAGTCCCTCCTTAGGTAGAGTCCCAAATCTGCTTTTCATCTTCAGATATTAACATGCATATAAAAAAAGAAGGATGGCAGGAGAGTCTCATATAAAAAAAAAGGCAGGGAAGCAGAGTCTGGGAGCTAGATGCATTTTGGCCGACTGGTAGGTTCTGCTCAGCTCGGGGCCAGCTGAGCCTCTGCTGTCTGGAAAGACTGCCCTGGACTGGGGGCCCCAGAATGCCCACAGAGCCAGATGCTGAGGGCTCAAAAGGAATCTAGGTGCTCATACGCCAACAGGCAAGAAGCAAAGCGTTCCAGGAGACCACAAGTGTGGGGTTGGAGGGGGGCACTGGGTGGAGGCGGCACAGAGGGGAGGAGAGAGCCTGGCACACAGGCTCTGATTTGGAGCCGAGGTTGAAGGGATGCAGGGGCTCAAAATCAAGGAACACGTGGGGCTTCTAGAAGCTAGAAAAGGCAAAAAAAAAAAGGACATTCTCCCCTATGGCCTCCAAAAGGGACATTGGCCAGCTGACCCCTTGATTTTAGGACTTCGGACCCCCAGAACTGTAAGAGAGAAACTTCTGTGTTATTTTAAAATAAGCTGTGGTCATTTGTTACAGCAGCAAAAAGAAAGTAATACAGTTAAAGGTTCGGGTCCTTCTACCCCACTAGTTGCCCAGGGCTGCCGTAGCAAAGTACCACAAACAGAATGGCTTACACGACAGAAGTTTATTGTCTCACAGTTCTGGACGCTACAAGTCTGAGATCAATGTGCCTGCAAGGCCACACTCCCGCTGAGGGCACAGCGGAGGATCTGTTCCAGGCCACTCTCCCAGCTTCTGGTAGGTCCTTGGCTTGTAGCGACATAACTCGTAGCTTCACATCACATCCTCCCTTGTGTGCACATCTGTCCCTGTGCCCGTATTTCCTTTGTATGAGGACACAGTCCTTCAGGATGGGGGCCCACCCTAATGGGCTTATCTTAACCTGATCATCTGCAAAGACTATTTCTAAATAAGGTCACATTCACAGGTACTGGGGGTGATGCCTTCCACCTCTTTCAGGGGCGGCACAGCTCAACCCATACACAATATTACTCCTAAAAGCTGCCCTGCTTTAAAAAAAAAAAAACCCGGGGCAGGAGGGCAATGATTCCTTCCCGGCGAAAACAAGCCGTCCTCACTTCCTCCAGCTGCTCTGCTGAGCCCACTGCAATGGCCCAGGAGCAGAGGCCGGATGCTCAGGAAGAGTGTCCACCCACAGCTCCCTGCAAGTTCATCACACTCCGCGGGGTCTGCAGTGCTGCGGGGCTTCCCGCATCCCCTACAAGGCAGCAAACTCCTCCAGGCGGGGACCACGTGCATCCCCACCCCCCACAGCCTCCAGGACCCGCCGCCTGCCTGCCACGTGCTGCTTTAGGCCGGACCCTGCATTGGTCACTGGCTTTTCGTGTCGACCTCTCACGGGAACTGTGCAGTCGGCCGGCTCCGGCTCCCGGGCTCTTCTCTGCTGTGTCCTCAGCACCAGCCATGAGCCAACACACCCAGTAAGCGTTTGCTGAGATAGCGGGTCACTCATCTGCGGTCACCAGCCACTGGGCACAGCGAACACACCAGCACCAAGTCGCTCCGTGTTGAAGGAGGAAATGGCCCCAGGAAAGCTTCCCTAGATACAGAGGAGCTGAGCTCGCCCGAACCGCTGTCCGTGAGGTGGGGGCATTCTCTGAATCGCTAGGGCTTGCCGCGCAGCTCGCTTCCCAAGCTCAGGTGGAAATTACGGCGGAGTGGATTCTTTCCGAAGCAGGGACCTGATCCTATAGGAGACAAAGCAGAGATGGGGCGAGCAGAGGCGTCTCTCTCTCTCATCTTAGCCCCTTGTGATGTTCCAGATGGAAACATCTTCAGGGCATCCAGTCTCTGGAACATCAGAGGGGTTCTGGACCAGCCACCACGCAGCTCCAAGGCAGATGCAGAAATCCCTGCCTGCAGAATCCCCTCTGGACATCAGGCCTCTCTATTAATGAAGCCACAAGGCCCAAGGCCGGAGCTTCGGATGCTCTAGGGGATCAGGGCCTGCTCTGGGTCTGAAAGAAAACGGTGACCGCTGTTCCCACCACGTGCACGCAAACCCTCCCCCAGAGCCTCTCCAGAGTGGTTTCTGAACAGCGCTGTCACTGCTGGTCCTTGAGGCCGGCAAAGGTTCATCTCTTTTCTCTCACCTGGAAGCCAGGTGGGCATCACCTGAGCAATGGCAGGGGCCAGTCTCCCCTATTTTGGTAACTACCCTTGCAAAGGAACAGGGCGGCTTATTTTTATAAAAAAAAGTTTCACACAAACATGCTCCTTGATTTATGTATTGTCTGTGGCTGCTTTCAGGCTTCACACTGCAGAGCTGAATCACTGTGGCAGGGACTGTATGACCCACAGAGCCTGAAACCCAGGTCAACGTCCTGGGCACGCAACCCACAGGACCCCAGCTTCGAAGATGCCACAAGCTCGGTTTAATGCTCTGCTGCCTCCACCTTGAAATTTGGAATCTCTTTTTCACAAGGGGCGCCGCAGTTTTGTTTTTCACCGGATCCTGTAAATTCTGTAGCCAGTCCTGCCTAAGTGTTTACTATCTGGCCCCAAAGTCTGCCCAGCTCTCTACTTTTCCAATCCTTGATTCCCTTTCACTCTCTGACTTAATAAGTCTGACCTCGCGAAGCTCAGCCCTTTCTGGAGCAGCCTATCATCTGAGAGTCAGTTCTTCCTTAAGAGTAACCCTGCCAGCTATCACTATCAAGAGAGCCTACAATAAGCCAGGCACTGGGTTGAGTGAAGCCAGAGTGCGACAGTGTGCAACTTATGTACCCATCCTTCGGACCACCCACAATAAATCTCATTCCTTAAGTCTTCAGGGACTTAAGTAAAGTTCACCTGTTTCTCCCTGCTGAGCCTTCTCTTCTCCAATCCAAAATTGTTCTGTTTCTCATTAAGACATGTTTCAAGCTCTTGCACCATCTTACTCACCCTCTCTAGATACCATCTAGTTTCCCAAGGCCCCAAACAAGGCTCCAAGTGTAGTCTGACCAGGGCAGAGTTTGGTAGCTTGGTCACCTCCATTATTCTAGATGATATATCTCTATTAATGCATCCTGAGATCACACTGCCCTTTTTGGAAACGACTCCAAAAAATCCCCAAGATCTCTGGTAGGAGAATAGGAGAACAGAAAGATGGAGGGCTAGTGCCTGATGACGTCATGCAGCCACCACCGTAGTTCCGAACTACCTATTTGTGTTATATGAGAGAGAAAAAAACAAAACAAAACAAAAAGCCCCTACCTTGGACAAGCCACTATTATTTCGCATCTTTATTATGAGTAGCCAAGTGCAGTTACTGAAAGAGCCTTTATCACCTCCAGCTTTTTGATTAGTCTTCCTGCCTCAAACCTCACACGGCTCCAGTCAAATCAGCTCCAATCAGCTTCCTCACATGCAAATCTACTAAAGACCCTCTGCTGTTTTGAAGTCTTCAATGGCTTCCCAGCACGTCTAGATAAAAATCTATACTCTTTAGTATGACATTTGAGATCCTTCACACCCAGGCCAGAGTCAAGACTTATCCCCTGCCTCACCCCCCAGACAACATGTGCTTGAGCCACTACACAATTCTTAGCATTCTGGCTTCTACCAGTCCTCTGACACCTACAGCCTTTCCACCTGAAATGTTCCATGTGGTGAACTCCTGCTTGTCTTTCAACACCTTACTCTAAAGCTACCTCCTCCAGGAAGCCTTCCCTGATGTCCTCAGAGTAAGTCATTGCCTCCTACGGACTTCTCAGGCAAGTTCTTTGTAACATAACTCTGATGCAGCACTTGCCACACAGTATTACAATTACTTATTTTCTGATCATTCTGTTCCCCTAGGCTGTGGGCTCCCCAGGGCAGGGAGGGACCTAACCTGATGGGTCTATTTACCCCTAGCTGTTGGCAAATCCTAAAGAGATGAGTCTGTCAGTGATGAATGGATGCACAGACCCTAGAGACTCAGAGTCGTCACCCTTCATGCAGCGGGGGCCTCGGGTGATGGCTGACCTGGAAGAGGACGCAGGGAAACTAAGCAGATACCTAAGAGAGGGCAACCTCACCGATGCCCGTGCTGTGTCTGGGGCCCATGGATATCCGGGAAGCTGTCACTAAGCTATCCCTGGGGACAGGGTGAAGGGTGGCAGAAACGTGGACTCCAGGTCCCCTCTACGTGGTATCAAAAGGCAGAGGAGGGTGGTCTGCATCCAGTCTCAGCCCCAGATCTACCCCACACCACAGTCCATCAACCCCTCCGGGGAAAACCCTAGGAGTGGGAAAACCTCAGCCCTGCTTCAGGCCACCAAACAGCAGGGCAGGTACCAACTGCTCCAACGAGAATCCCCACCAGAGAGCATTTCTGTTCCGAAGCATTTTCTCCCACGAGCTCATCTCCCCCTTTCCACGAGGGTAGGCAGAGCCCCGATCCTTATTATTATGGCCCCATTTTACAGGTGGGGACATGATGGCCCAGAGAGGCGAGGTGTGCCCAAGCTCACGCACCCAGCAAGAGGTTGAGCTGGGGGCTGAGCCCACCTCCTTCCCACAGGAGCCCAAACGCAAATACCAGGGTCCCACAGCAGCAGCCAACCACGGGGGCACCAGGAGACACCAGGCCCTTGGCTCGTGCATGAGGCCCAGTGCCCGTGCAGCCCCCTTTAAGGAGCGCTGGGCCTTCCTGCAGGGCTCCAGTCTTAATTTTAGCTTGGAGGCCTGCCACCGGAGCCTTCAGCCAGCGGCAGGCTGAAGTTATGCGGGACAGCTGTCAGCCGGCACGCTGGGTGGGGCCTATTTAGCCACCAGGGGCACAAGTCTGGGGACACTGGTGTCCCTGCCCCAGGTCTTTTCAGCCCCGCTGGCCACACGGCTCCGATCTCCTCTCGCAGGTCACCCAGCTCCACGATGATGGCCGAGGAGCACACAGACCTGGAGGCCCAGATCGTCAAGGACATTCACTTCAAGGAGATCGACCTGGTGAACCGGGACCCCAAGAACATTAACGAGGACATAGTGAAGGTAGGCTCGAGGGCCTGCCCCGGCGCCCCCTGCCTGGAAGGTGTCAGGTTGGGTGCTGGAAGGGGCAGGCTCTGCTCCCGCGCAATCGGCTTCCCTGAAAAGAGACCTGTTCCTCTGTCTTCTCCAAATCCCACCCACCCCCCGCCCCGCAAACCAGCTTGTACCCCCAAAGAGCCTTTAGTGTCAACAAGAGCAAAGAATTAGCTGCACATACAGGACCATCGACCGGGGCGGGGCAGGCGAGTCGCAAAGGAAACTCTTTACAAATCTGTAGCTCTTCCCATGTGCTCTTGGCCCTCGGCTGGGGACAGACGAGGCGGCCAAGTTGGGCCCTTTCCATGCCAGGGGCATTTTGCGGTCTCCACAGTGGGTGCGGGGTTAATCCCCAGAGGGCGGCTTCCAGCAGGGCTGCTGGCCCCTTGCAGGGGCTCCCGCTGCCCCAGGCTGGGGGGCTGTACCCAGCACTCATGCCTGCTCCTGGCACGTCCAGCATCCAGGCCAGGCCAGAGGCCTCTCAGAGGGCACCGGGACCCCTGAAAGGGAATCTTGTATGAGGGTTACCCTGCCTTCAGGGAGTCTCCTTCACGGCCATGCCTGAGTCAGGCCTCTTCCCTCACCCGATGCCATCAGCAGCCTGGCTGCCTCCAGGGCCACCCCTCAGTCCAGCCTCCACCCGGTAGCCACAGGGATCTTACTACAGCAGAATTCCTGGGAGAAGGGTACCCACCAACCAGCATCAAAGTCACCGGAAGGGCCTTTAAAGGGGCAGGTGCGGGGGCCTCCCGGGTGCTCTGAATACATCAGAACCACAGACCAGCGGTGTCCAGTAGAAATATAATGTGACCCATTATACAATCACCCTATGTCATTTTAAGTTTTCTAGCAGCCATGACTTTAAAAAGGAAAAACAAACAGGTAAAATTAATTTTCAAGGTATTCCTCATTTAAGCCAATATGTCCAAAATAGTATTATTTCAACGTGTGACCACTACAAAACAATTATTGGTGAACAATTGTATAATCTTTCTTCATCTTCAAAATCTAGTGTGTATCTGAGACTTGGGATGCATCTCAGTTCAGACTCCAAAGTTTTCATGAGAGACCCTTCTGTCTTTAGATTTCATATAATGAACAGTTGAAAACTGATTCACAAACCCAAACTGCGCCAAACATTCTTACAAGTTTCCCAATCACAGAATTAACTATCAGTTTTTAGATTTCAATTAAAATTAAACACGATTTAGAATCCTTCAGTTGCACTAGCCACAGGTCAAGTGCTCGTACATAGCTCAAGGCCACTGGATTAGACAGCGGGGTTAAGGGCTTGTTCTAAAGGACAGCCCTGCGTGGTCACCTTCAGTGGGACACCTCCCATGCTGCGTGAGTCTAACTTCCCCCCATGGCATTCGAACCCCAGCACATCTGGCCCCTACCTTCCTCTTCCACCCCCAGCTCCCATGCCCGGAGCTGGCCACACCAACCAGAACACACTCCTGTGTCTTTGGCAGCTGCCAGCCTCCTCTCCCCGACGTGGTGGATGCCCACTCAGCCTTCGAGACCTGATTCAAATGTCACCTGCTCAGGAAGCCTTCCCCAACTCCTCCAAGCAATCAGGAGCTCCTTCCTCTGTGCCCTCACTTCACTCAGGGCATTTCCCTGTAACAGCTCATATTATGCTATTATTGAATTTATAAATATCATTGGTGGTGCAGAGAGGGTCATCACAGCACAGTTTGGGAAGTGCGGCAAAATTAGGGAATGAACGTTCCAAACTGAAAAGCACCATACAAACGTCAAACAGTATTTGTCGTGCTTTGTGCAGTGTGATCTAGACGGAATGGTCCCAGACTTGACACTAACAGATGTGGTTTCAAATCCAGACTCCTCTACTTAAAAACAGTGACACTGGACCCCCTGTAAAATGAGCATAATTTACTCCCCCAGGGTAAATGGATCTCAGAGCAGCGTTGTGCAATAGAAATAGACCGAGAGGACTGCATGAGATAAGAGGTTTGAAAGCGCCTAAGACAGTCCCCGGCACACAGCAAGGGTGTGCAAATGTGAGCTGATTAGGAGCCTGGAGGAGCTTGCAGGACAAGAGAGCTAAGCCAGGGCCGGCGTTGACACTCAGGTTCCCCTCTGGTGGGTGGGCCCTAGCGGCTGCGGGAATGCAAAAGAGGACCCTTAGGGAGAACGTGTTTTCTGAAGGATCCCGCAGCAGATGGCAAGTGGAGAGAGGCTCTCGGGTCCCAGTGAGCCAGGAGAGAGCTGGCTCCAGGCTCGAGGCCCAGATTATAATCCAAGGGAGGGATGGGGGCGGCCACACAGATGCAGCTGCTTATGCAGCCTCCCAGGGGGCTGGGAGCTACCCTCTCCCGGAGGCCCTGAGCCCCAGAAAACCATGCCTCAAAGGTGAAGCAAAAGGCCCACAAATGTTTTGTCTAGAGGAGATGATTATTTGGTGTATTTACTGGACATTCCCTGGTTTGGGCACTTATTTGACTTTTTCTTTCATTTTTAATGAGTGAGAGATGAAAACGTTTTGAAATTTAGAACAGGGATTCTAAAACAGAACCAGATAAATACCACAGACAGGTTCAAGAAGACTTCAGGTTGGTGTAATGGGATGTGAAAGAATGAAGAAAAGGAAGAAATGGGAGAGAGCGTGGCTGAAAGAGAGAGGTCCATCTGAACAGGCTGGCCTTCGGGTCACCTGGATGTCTTTCATCCAGGGAAAGGACCGGGGGGTGGGGGTGGGGGGACAAGGGACCAACGGGGTGAGGGGGACGGAGATGGAGAGAAATAGAAACAAGGTCAGGCCAAGATGAAGGCTGGAAAGGCTCCCGTCGGGGTGGTGTCACACGTGGTAACAGGCTCCACGTGTGTGAGGATGATGCCGTAAGACGGTAGAATAAGACAGGCTACAGAGGCCCAAGTCTAGTCCCAGCCCTGACTCTAGCTTGCTGTGTGACCCTGGGCAAATCCCTTGCCCTCTCTGGGCCTGAGTCCCTAGTGTAGACAGAGGCGGGGTGGAGAAAAGGGAGACCCGTTCCCTCCGCCGCCAGCTGCTGAGGTTTCACACAGAAAAGACAAGGGTGAAGAGCAAGAGACACACTCACCGGGCCCTTGGATTTGACCCTCAGCAGAAGGAGGTGCTCCCTCTGGATTTCTAGAGTCAAAACTTTCCCAAACTTCCCTGAGCAAGGCCTGGTGCTACCCTCGAACCCAGGCTGGAAAGTGAGTGCCAACAGCTGAGGGAGAGCTCCGCACAGCCCAGCAGTCTGTACTGTAGCCTCCCAGCTCCGGGCTGGGCCTGGGCAGAGGGGAGGCTCGCCTCATTCCCTTCACCCCTACCATCACCACCATTCATGGAACATTGATTCCACGAGCCGTTCCTGAGCGCCTGCTCCGTTCCAGGCACTGTGCTGTCGCAGAGGACGTGGCAATGAGCAAGTGAGACCCACTGTGTGTAGGGCCCGTGCTAGGCTCTCGGGGGGCGGGAAAGGAGGCCAGCGGTCCCTGGCACTCCAGCTGGTCAGTGAGGACACCATTCCCTTCAGACCCAGATTGCAAAGCCTCCAGCCCCTTCCTCGTACATTCCTGCAGGCCCCCAGTCCCACCCCAAAGTCCACCAGTTATTTGTGAGCGGTCTCAGGGCTTTCTCATCGACACCCTCCCCCTCCCCAACTCACATTTCGGCAGCCGGGCCCTAGAGCAGGGACACATGAACCCATCGGCAGGCAGGTCCTTCAGCTTCTGGTTTCAACCACTCTCCCGTCAGGCACTCAGAGCTGGCCCTTCAACCAGGGCCAAGGGAGAGACCTGACCCCAGCCCATCACACTAGTTCCCACCTACCTCCAACCCACATCTGCCACAAGACCCTCCCCCTTCAGAAAATCACACAGACAGCCCCTTCTGCCTCTCAGCTTAGGCTAACAAACACCCAGAGAACCCAGTAACCCTCCTTCCCCCAAGGTCTCCAAACTCTGCTCCCACTGTGGGCCCATCTGGACACCCTGTTTCACAAAGATGAAACTGACCTGGTGCTTCCTCTTGAGAAGAATCCAACAGATTCCAAGAATCCAAGAATTCCAACAGACAGAGAAGATGAGACTAAAAACAATGAGAATACACAGGAGGAGGTGATAAATGCCTCAAATCAGTGCCAGATGAAGGGTCACGGGAAGGAGGAAGACATCACTTTCATCTGGGAAAATCAGGCACCAGCTTCATGGAGAGGTGGTATCCAAGGTGCATAAATAATAAGAGAAATGTAAAATGTGGAAAGGGGGCATCAGGCTTTCCAAGAAGAGGGAACAAAATAAGCAAAGGCCACAACGTAGAGAAGAATGATGGGCAGAGTCGGAAAACGTGAGGGGCGGGTACTGCCACTCTGCTGCCTATGTCCGTGCAGACATTACTAAAGGATCACAGCACGTTTCCAGGAAGCCATGGACCATCAGCTAGGCTGAGTTGGCCCACAGGTGAAACCTCTTTGCTACGCTGTCTACAGGCGAAAAACGGGACTAGGAGCATCTGAAAGGGAATTTGTGGGAGAGGAGGCAGAAGGGGCAGGTTGAGGCTGAATTAGGAAAGGTCATGACCTGCCAGGCATTCCACATTGGCAATTCCTTCATTTTGGAAAGTACCCCTGGCAAGTACCTCTAAGAAGGGCTATACCCTGGATTAACTCACACTGAGGTATTTACAACATGGTGTTGTAGGGACTCCTGTGTGTCAACTAGAGTTTTTAAAAACATCCACTTTCTTGGGGAGCTTGTGAAAAATGCAGATTCCTGGGCCCTGCCACCAGAAATTTTATGAGGCAGGGCCGGTGAATGTTTTGTACTTTAAACAAACAAGTTCCCCTTGTCCTATAGAAGATAAACCTGAAGTCCAGAGTTGTCACCAGTTTCCCCTAAAGACACAGCGTATCAGTTATCCACTGCTGTGTGACAAATCACCCTAAAACTCGACGCTTAAAGCAACAAGGCTTTGA